AACTTGGGGACGAGGGGAATTGACGGAAAATCGGCGCAGTCCAAGTTGCCGTTATGGGGCATTCGCAGTAAATGTGTCCAGCCTCACCGCAATGATAGCAGAGGGGTCGTCTGTCCGGCGTACGCCAGAGATTGTACTTGCGCGTCGGTGCATGGCGACTATGGATTTTCAAAGCAGCGTGCTCTGAGTGAATCGCGACTGAAGGCATCATTGTCTGGATTGGGACGTATGGCATTGTCTGAATCGGGACGTGTGGGACTGGCTGGATCGGGACGCGTGGCACTGGCTGGATCGGGACGTGTGGCATTGTATGGGTCGGGGCTTCTTGACCAGAAAGAGGCGTGGCAGATCGCAAGGCTTTCGCGTACGTATGACGGCGACTGTCAGTAGACGCAGGAGCCGTTTGCGGATCAACCGACATCGGCGGAAAACGATGGGCGCGCAGCAGCTGCTGGACCTCGTCACGGATGACACTGGTGATAGAGCCAACATCGATTCTCCTCGTCCCGTACATCTTTTCCATTTCTTTGTGGACAACAGAGCGGTAACCTCGCGCATTCATTCGGGACTCTTGCTCCCAGGGGTGGCGAAAATTTTGGAAGTTGACGCAGCATTCTCTTGATGGTCAACAGGGCAGACCGTTGGTGCAGTACTTGCTTCATTGTTGCCGCTTCCGTAAGGAACTCAGCAACACTCTTGGGGGGACTACGCACCAAACCAGCAAAACTTTGTTCCTTCACACCACGCATGATGTGGCGCAACTTTTATTTTCTCTGTCATAGCAGGACACGCTCGCTTGAAAAGCCGTGTCATGTCCTCGACGTACATCGAGAAGGTTTCATTTCGCATTTGGATGCGTGATTGTTGTGCACGCTCCGCCCGTTCGCGGCGGTCGGGGCTCTCGAAGGTCTCCAGATGCCGACACTGAAGCTCGCGCCAAGATGTCAGAGCATCATCCCTGTTTGAAAACCACGTCATGGAACCATCCTTCAGGCAAGTGTACACGTTCCGGAGCTTCACGGCATCATCCCAGTAAATGATCGTTGCGACACGTTCAAACTCACTCAGCCAGTCATCAACATCTTCATGGTGCTCTCCATGAAAGGGGCTAGGCATGAGCTGGTTCTGGACGGTGCAGTAGATCGGCGTGGAAGGTGTCGGAGCTTGCTTGGGATCTTGTGTCGAAGTCATAGTCGCTGCGTCAGTAGTTGGTGTCTCAGGTGGTAGGCCTCGTTGGCGGCGGCTTATTCTGTGAACAGGAGTGTCCACGGGCGCAGGGCCTGTGTTCCGGCTGCTGGGCGGTGTCTTGGGCATCGGATAGATCGTTAGACGTCGTACCCAGCCCCTCCACCAGTCTTGTCACGTTTCTGACGACAAACTTGATATAACGGGCTCGTTAAGTGGACTAGCCAAGCAGCAGCTTAGATAGATTGTCGTTGTCCTCTTTCACTCATGGACCTCACCCAAGCAGACCATGGGGCAATATTGACAGACAGCTTGTATACCCTTTTACGTTCTTTTCTCTGAACGAGAAGTGGCAGTGCGGATTCGCCCTTCCTACCAATAGCGGCGGTGTTCTGCTGCATCAGTGTTTTGTAGAGTTACGCAACACTGGATGTATAAAGTTCGCTTTACTTAATTTGTCGCTCCCGCACTTATTACATCACCCTTGCGGAGAAACTGGGATGATTATTCACAGGTTGTCATATCTAAAGTGCTGCGTGAAGCAAAAACTACCAGCATATCTTCTTTTTTGACCATCACAAAGCTCTTTGCGCTGCATCGAATGGGTATGTGGGATATGACGTATATAGATCACAGCTTTTAAAAACTTCCAGGGACTGGTGCTGTCACAAAAAGCACCAAACCGTCCACGTTATGACATGCTTTACCATCCCGAGAAAGTCGCTTTTGTTGCTCGAAGGAGCAAGGGAACCTGCAATCACGCACTTTCATCACGTTCGACAATTTTTCGGACTTGTATGGATCTTTCTGCATTGTTTTTATGTTGAAATTGCTCAATTGCGTTTTCTCTTTCTTGGTAATAAGGGGAATTGCATATAAGTATGCTCGAAAGTGTAGCCAGTGGTCCTATGCTTTCCACATTGAGATGGCCAATACCGCACCCTGTTACAGCTCTAACAAAGAAGATACCATATCAGATGTCTTTTGTGATTGTTTACAAAATAGAGTTGACAGAAAATATGCCTTCGCACTGAGCTCAACAGATCTTATAATCAGCCCCTTTAAAAAAATACCGTATCACCAGAATGCAACGTCACAGATGAAGGTTTTGCAAGAACTACTGCGCCCCGCCGCGATGGTCCGGTGGCTAAGGTACTAGGCTGCTGACTCGCATGTCGCGGAATTGAATCCCGGCTTCTGCGGCTGCATATTTGATGGAAGTGAAAGTTATGTAGGCTCGTGTGCTCAGATTGTGGTGCACGTTAAAGAACCTCACGTGGTTGAAGTTGCCGGAGCCCTCCACCACTGCATCTCTCATTATTATATGGTTGTTTCGGGACGTTAATCCCTACACATCAATCAAAGCGCTATTGCACTTTTTCCAATCTATCGGCAATTATGAACGATTGAAGCCAGAACGCCCTTCCCAAGTGTGTGTTTTTTTTTGTTGTCTCTTGAGTGCACGTGTGTTTTTTTTTTCTTTTTTACTGTGCACCTCCTTTCTTGCCTTTATCACACACCCCGTGCTGGGTAGCAAACCGGATGGCAATATCTGGCTCACCTTCCGGCCTTCCTATTCTCTCTTACTCTCAACGCTGGGTGTACCTTTCAAGGTCCTGGTCTATTCTTACGATGCGAAGCATCGAAATAAGGTTTGCAGCGTAGTTGCAGACGGACAACGTCTGCTTTCACTTTTGCATTCTACCTGACCCCCTCGCGCCAGCTGTCGACCTCATTATTTACGCTATTGCAATGACTTCAAGCTGTCCCTGGTCAAGAACATGTTAACAGACGAGCATGTTACAGCACAGGAGCGGAAGAACAAGCCTAGGAACGTAGAGGCCCTTGAAGCAGAGTTAAGAGTTAACACGTCTGCAAGTTCCATTCAGTGCCCCATTGCAGTAGTCTGGTGGCTAAGGTAATCGGCACGGCATTGAATTCTGGCTGTGGCGGCTGCATTTTGGATTGAGGCGAAAACGCTGTAGGCCTGTGTGCTCAGATTTGGGCACACGTCCAAGAACGCTAGGTGGTTGAGGTTTCCGAAGACCTCCACTGTGGCGTCTCTCACACCTATAAGGTGGTTTTGTGACGTTAAACCCCACAAAGTCATCAATCAAGCTCAATCACATTGAGCCTATCATTATATTGCTAAGTGAAGGTTAAACTAATAAAACGGCTCCAACTCAGAACTACCCGATGTTGAGACACTGCCAAATGGACTAACGGATTTTCTTGAAGCAGGAAAAGTTCTTATGAGGGCTAGCAAATATCGCTTTTTGGAGGAATCTTTTTCCTAATATGTGTTCTTTAAATTGCTTGTTTATAAAAATTGTGGAGTGTTTTTGTAGTTTATTATTACTTTTTCTCCAGAGATTTTGCAGTTTATCGCAGTTTTTACATTGCTAATCCACAATTATGTGAAACACTGGCGTCCACAATCTCAGATTTTCCCACAGTGCAGTAAAATTTGATTCAGTGGTATGTAAAGACGAAAACTTCAGAACACATGGACAGTATTTTAACTGTAACGGAAGCGCACATAAACACAGTAACATTAAGATAAAATACCTGAATACAGGACATCTACCTTTGTTCACATAACAGTCTAAAGCTTGTGATAATATACGCAAGATATAGTTGTAATAAGTGCAAGTTTCTTCAACAAGGTTGTTGTCACTGATGAAAGCGCACTCCTTTCTAGTAGTCTACCATGGCCTGTCAAGAAGGGCGTGTATCAACTTTCCAAATGATAGTTTGCTGTAGTGCTGAACCACTTGCTAACATATCATAGTGTTCCTACGCCTAGGAAATATTTGTTTGCCTTTGAGAATGCCACGAAGTCTTAAAACTATCTGTAATAGCCTGGCTGCGAAAGCAGTTCCCTTGTCGGTTATTACCACTGAAAGATCGCCATGCCTCAGCTCCACATTCGCTACGAAAATCAAGCTGCTTCACTTACCGTGCCTCTCTCCAGAGCTTTGGTTTCGGCGTAGCCAGTCACGTAGTCTGTGGCTACAATAAACCATCTGCGACGTGCCGATGAATTTGGAAAAGCGGCCAAACAATCCATCCTGACTTGGGTGAAGGAAGTAACAGATGCGTCATTAGGACGGAGGAGCGCTGCTGCTTTTACAGGCGGTATTTTTCTGCGCTGGCAATCAAGGCACGTCCAAACATAGTGTTGAATGGTAACCGTCAATCTTGGCCAGTAGTAGTTCTGCCTCCCTCTGTGCAGCGTACGCGTGTAACCCAAGTCATTGGGTGTTGGTTCATCGTGGCATGCGTGATAACTTCAATTCTTAGAGATGGTTGGACGACCAGTAAGTAGTTGTTTCCATGCGACGTGAAGTTCGTCTTATACGGGACGTCCGTGCCCAAGAAAAATGACGATAGCCTTTTCGCAAACAGTCTACGCACCCCTGAAGCGCGACACTCCAAAAAACGAACTTTGGGTTCCAGTTCTGGGTCGTCTCGTTGCAGCTGTGCGACAATAGCCATGTTTACAACTTCGACAAAGGCAGTATTGTCATATTCGGCAATCGCAGGTTTGTATAGCGCACGAAAAAGGCAATTGGTGTCTGAATGTCACTTCCCCAATCTGTAGACCACCGTCACGTCAAAATCTTGAAAATTGAGGCTCCAGCGCGCCAATCGTCCTGATGAGTCTTTTAAATTTGTCAGCCAGCAGAGGGAGTGATGGTCGCTGACAACATTAATAGGACGACCATACAGATATGGGTGAAGCATTATAACCACCCCAACCACTGCAAGGCACTCTTTTTCCGTGGTTGAATGTTTCTCTTCCGTGCTTAAAGAGTCCTGCTCGCGCAAGCCATTACTCGTTCGGTCCCAGCCTGCCGCTGCACGAGTACAACTCCTACGCCAACATTGCTTGCGTTGGTGTACACTACTGTCGGGGCGTGTTCATCAAAGTGTCCGAAGACTACTGGCTTCTGACGGCGTTGCCGCAGCTCGTCAAGCGTTTTTAAATGCAAAGCAATACTTAGCGAACTCCAGCAACTTTGCGCGTATCTATCAATCTATCTATCTATCTATCTATCTATCTATCCATCTATCTATCTATCTATCTATCTATCTATCTATCTATCTATCTGTCTATCTATCTATCTACCTATCTATCTATCTATCTATCTATCTATCTATCTATCCATCTATCTATCTATCTATCTATCTGGCCGCCTACGACGTTTAACTCTCCTGGCCGTTTCGATAACGGTATCGATACCGAAGTCTTGTATGGCATAACATGACTGTACGAAGAACGTATTTGACTAATCATAACACGAAAATAATGACACGACTGTCACGAATGTCATGATATACATTTCATGCACCTGCAGCTCTTACGGTGGTTTCGTTCACACGGCATCCTGCGAAAGTGGTATGGCATGTTATGATTGCATGGCGAACACAAGCGGCAGAACGTAACATGAAAATCGTGACATCCTTGTCATCTAACAACATGACTACATGCCAAGTTCATGATGTGCTCACGGGCGTTTCACTAGCGTCAAATATACAAAATTTGGTATTACGGTACGTGAATGGATGACGAAGGTATGTGACTGGTGCAAGTATTAAAGCCACGAAATGCGTGTTATGTAACAACATCAATACATGCTACGCTCATGATGCGCTGGCGGCCGTTTCGCTAGCTTCACCTATACTGAATTGGGTATTACTGGACGTGAATGAATGACGGAGATATAATACTGGTGCAAACATGATAAGCATGAGATGCGTGTCATGTACCAACATGACTACATGACATGATGCACTCGCGGCCGTTTTGCTAGCATTATATATGCCAAATTTGGTGTTATGTGACGTCAATGGATGACGAAGGTATGTGATTGGTACAAACATGATAATCATGAGATGCATTTAATGTGAAAACAAGACTACGTGCCACAGTCAAGGCGTCAATACATTTCGACGTGACGCGGTGTGCGTGCTCACCGCCGTTCATTTGGTTGGGTCACGCCGGCGTTGCCACGCCATGGCAGCTGCAGGCACCGGTCCTGTCATATACTCGCATTTGAGCACCGTGCTGCGTTGCTTTACCGCATGCACGTTCCAGCGCGTCCAGCCCCCTCTGTCACGAAAAGAGGGAGACGCAGTGTTGCCTGGGCAACACATTAGCGCGAAATGCAGCATGTCGCATGTTGCGCCCATCGCCGTCAGGCCGTGCCGACGGACGTGGTCGTGCCGGTCGCACCTGGCATCAGGCTATAGAGTGTTCGCGTTTTGCTAACATAGGGTCACTGTACCCAGCGTGCGTGTGCGTGAACGCTACATCGGAGTATAATGGGCCCTTCATGATGCGCTCGGGGCCGCTTTGCTAGAATCACATATACCAAAGTTGGTGTTACATGGTGTGAATGCAGGACGAAAGTATATGACTGGTGCAAACGTGATAATCCTAACACGCGTGTCATGTAAGAACATGACACGGTCATTTGCTCATGGTCATTTCGCTAGCTTCACATATACTAAATTTGGTATCACGTGAGGTAAATAGATTACGAAAGTAAGCGACACATGCAAACATGATAATCATGACATGGAAGTCATGTACGGCACCATTCACGTCCACTTCATAGTGTTTTGCTGATTTCAAAGTGACATTCTTGCTCATTCTTGCTCAACCTTGCTCGTTCTTGCTTCGCATATCATTGATTTCCTATGTACGAAGTATCTGCCAGCTTTTTGCTGTTCTTCATTCCATATGAATGTGACGTCTTCTCTCGCGAGGTGGATCAACGGCGAGGCAATTAATGAGAAGTTCTCGTTGAAGCGTCGGTAGTAAGCACGCAGTCCTAAAAATTGTCTGACAGGCCTTTTCGTCAGTTGGCACTGGAAAATTTGTAACGGCAGCTGTTTTTCAGGGACGCGCCACAAACCTTCCCTGCTGGCGAAATGCCCCAGGAACAGAAGTCTTTCGAAGCCGGAGTGGCAATTTTCCCGCTCAAGTGTTAGTATAGCGGGACTAATAGCCTGAAATACTGAGTGCAGTGGTATGACGTGTTCGTAGTTTGTGGTAGAGAATACGATTTCGTCGTCTGAATAAACTAAGCACGTCTGCCACTTGAAGTCTCATCGTACAATGTCAAATAGCCGCAGAAACCTTGATAATGCAGAGCACAAGCCAATTGGAAGTACCACTAAGGCCAACAGGTGTCCGGAAAGCGTTTTTTTTTGTGTCTCTTCAATCGACTTATATCTGCCAATACCTACTTCCTAAATCGATTGATGAGAAATAACGCACATTGCATGGTCGATTATGTGAATCGTCGATGCGAAAAAGTGGGTAGACATCGTTTTTTGTGACCTGATTCAGCTTGCGGTAATTCCAGATAACGTAAGGTGCATCTTTTTTTCTTCACTAACACAACTGCCGAAAAGCAAGGGCTTTTCTACGGCTGAATAACATTATAATAAAGGATCTGTCGCACCTTGTTTTCGATGGCTCCTCGTTCCCGCGGAGCTACCTAATATGGGTTTCGCCTGATGGGTGCAGTCATGTCGTGTCAGTGGCGTTAGACGAATTCTGCACGTCGAAGAGAAATAATTTTCAAAGTGGTTAATTGACTGCGGGATATTTGCTTCGGCGCCAGGAGCAAACTTGGGTCATTATCAACGGATTGAGGTTGGCAGGTCAGTTGAAATATCTTTCTCATATGTTGGGCAGTCTGCCATTTCGGTGAGCTCTTTCGTGTACGCGGCTGCCATACCCATCGTCAGACGTCGGCATTCAGAGCTGAAGCTCGCAACAAGGACGTGCGTGTATCCACATTTTAAGCTCACGACGCCCCTTGTGATAGATAAATCATGGCTGAATAGCAGGGTTGGTATTTCCTCTGTGATGTTCTAAAAATTGACTGACGTGTCACATGTCACAGGCACGAGTGCACTCGACCGCGGTGGGATGGTCACATCGTCGTCGAAGACGTGCCGAGTTTTACGTCACTGTTCTGTACAGGGCCCATCCGAAACTTGACGTGGGGCTATCCAAAACGTAGCCGGTCTCTCGGGTTGTTGATAACAGCGCCGTATTCACGCAGGAAGTCTACGCCTAAGGTAAGGTCGTTGCAGCACTCCGGTAAAACACGAAAGTAGCAACAAAATCTGAACTGCCGATATTATTTCGAGCGGTACATTCCCCTGTCGGCGTCACCATTTGACCCTCTGCGGTTCTTATGTTCAGGCCCGTCCGTATTGTTCTCACTTTTTTTAGGCTGTCGGCGAGTTAACGGCTGATAATAGAGAAGTCCGTACCAGTATCTACCAGCGCTGTTACTGGGCGTCCGTCTATGCAAATGTCTAGGTTGGCGCTTACGATTTCCATTGATGTCGGTGACGTCGTATCATGCTTTGTATGGCCTGGTGTACGATCCGCAGCATCATCTGTCGTATCGCGTTGTAGTAGAGGTGTTCACGGTGTGGTAGCACCTCAACGGGCGGCAACCTTCCCCTCAAAGGCCAATGTGGTTAGTTTCCCTGACGAGGTCTGGAGAATCTATCCCGCACGACCTCGGCGTAACTGTGGTGCTGCGGCGAGGTAAGTGCAGGAGAAAGAGAGCGGGGTCGACCATACGGCTCATCGGCTGGCTGCGCTTGCGCTCTTGCATTGCTGTCTCAGCAGTTATCAAAATAATAAATAAGAAAGGAGGTTTGCAAAAAGTTCTGATGTCTATTGTGACGGTACAGTACGCACAAACGCAGAAAACACGGCCGGCTTCTATGCAATAGAAGCAAAGTGATCTATGGAGGACAGTGCACCACGAGTCCGTCTTACGAATGAACGGTCGACTGGTGAGCATCTTTTGCGATCAAGACGCAGATGTCGGTGGAGGGTACAATAATGACGTTTGTGTAGGGATGTTAGACTGTAGATACGGCAGCGCCGGATTGGAAGATGGGACCAATGGCTCGTTGTAAAGCCTTTGGCTGACGTCGCCATAAGCCAGTGGTGACAAGTCGTACGTCACTGGAGCGGGTCGACGGATGCCCGATGCGTAGTTTACAGACCACTGGCTCGAGAGCGATTCGGGCAACGAAAATGCCTGGCGGAGTTCTTGCCGCATGACTTTTGCAACGGAAGCCACGGTATCTTCTTGCGATGTCACCAGGAGGTCTCGGATTTCCCCACGAACGACCTCACGAATTACCTCATGCAGAGAACACTCACTGCCGACAATGAAAGCAGAGAGGCTGATGGGTTGTTTGGTTGGTCGTGGTATCGGCGCCGCTGCGTAGTGCTCGCTTGATTGTCGTAGCCTCTTTGATAAATTCCGCTATGCTTGTTGTAGGGGTGCGTGGAAGACCAGCAAGCAGTTCTTCTTTGACTCCTCTCATCAAATGTCTTAGTATCTTAGCATCAGGCATCTCGATGCTAGCCCGTCGAAATAGGCGCGTCATGTCCTCCGCAATTATTGTGAGGCTCTCGTTCAGATTTTGGATGCGCGCTTTGGTGAGCTGCGGAGTAAAATCATGGTGGTCGTTCTTTGCGTATGCCCCGAGAATTTGCTGCCGAAATTACACCCATGGAAACAGTGCCGACTTGTGCTTCTCGTACCACGTAGGAGCGCTGTCTGCCAAAGCAAAATTTGCGCGTGAAAAGCTTCTTTATTCATCAAGTGATTGGCCTTGGCGGCTCACTAATACTGGGGCTAACCAGTCATCAACGTCTTCATAACCTCACCACGGAAGATCTGGGGAATCTCAGGCTGAACAACAATGAGCTGGGAAGGCCCTTCAGTATCGATTTCTCCAGGCAGGCTGTGCTGTAGGAAAAATTCGAGGGGGATTGCCTCAAGACTAAGGCCTCGCTTTTGGCGACTGTAGCAGTGGACTGGAGTATCCACTGCAGAAATGGGTTGCGGTGGCGAACTCGAAGTTCCAGGGCGCGGCGGTGTCCCAAGCGTAAGTTAGAGAAGTCCTGCACCTCCATCAACGTCGCGAAGAG